TGGCAAAGACCACCTGGTGGGCAACAGTGGTGTTAGCAACGACGAGGACGACAACGGAGGAGCGAGCAAGACTGGCACGAAGGGTGGAGAGGTGCGTGAAACCTACGACTTCGCGGGGCGACGCCAACAGGTCACCGGACCCGAGATCCAGGCTTCGAGGAAGCTCGAAGAGTACACTGTGTCAGCTGGCTCTGGCCACATTATGACCGACCGGGTGAGTTGAGAATGCATTGATATCTAATTTTCTGGCGTGTTTAAAATAGGAACTCGTTCTAGTTGAACTCTTGAACACAAGAAGCTAGACTGCAGAGAACTGGGATGCAGAGCTGTATTGTTCTATTTACCAAAACTGAAATTGGGAAGTCCAGCTCTCTCTCCACCCGTTCCCTATCGGTAACAAATTTAAGAGAACTTAAACTGCGCGTTTTGTGAATTGTTGAGTGGAGCGAACATTCAACTGATCGGTAGAATCCTAGTTTAGGTTTCAGATTAGCGAGCGAAAGCCCCATTCTCTTGCAATACAGAACAGGGTTAAATAAAGGGTATGTGGTCTGGGCAATACCAAGGAAAGGAAATATAAATAAAACATAAAGTTAATAACATTAGAAAAAGTAGGAGTAATTACTTAAGTACCCAAATTTTTTGTGAAAATTCCCATTTTACGATTGAAAAGTCAAATTGTTTTCAATCATTCACCACCAGGCCAATACAGTGACATTGAGAAGAAAAAGAGCAGTTAATTGCAGTGCTTATATGATCCTCAGGTTGGGGAGGAGAGGAAAGGACTTGGAGAGTGGGTGTAATTAAGCATCTGTGTTTTCCCTCGTCTCGTAAAATGCGGGCGCCAGCGCGTGTAGGACGTTGGTTGCGATGCGCAGAGAAAATGGGTGGATGTTGTCACAGTCAGCGGGTTGAGGTCTGTATGCCATCCGCGTAGCGTGCGCTTGACTATTCTCTGTGGCTTCGATTAGTTTGTTTTCGGACGACTTGACTTCAGGAGGCTTGGGATTTCCGCGTGCAGTCGGCCAAGGTTGGCAGATTGCTTGTACCAGCGCCTTTTGACAGCATAGAGTGGGTTTTGCTAATCGGATTGCCACTGCCTCTGCTGTGGCTAACATTCACATGCGCAGACCTTTGACGTAGTGTGTCGGCGTGTGGTATATGAACAGGAAGGCCTCTCCCGCGTCCACTTGATGGTTCTTCTCAATTAGATGGGCGAGGATTGAGCCTGAGATCGATATACTCTCTCCTTTGCTGATCCAGGCTGGTTTGTGCTCGCGTATCCTCTTCTCCAGATGTCGAGTTTTTTGGCTGCAATCAATTGACAATTTTAATTCTCCATGTCACTGTACTGGCCCGATGATGAATGACTGAAAACAATTGTTTGCCAATATGACTTTTCAGCTCTAATTTTTTTCAACAAAATGTGAGTCATAGTTAGATTGCGCAATTATGCAAATATTAGGAAATAACTTACTAAAACAAAAATCAACTAAATAAAAAAATGTATGCTAAATAAAGGTAATCTGACTTTATCTTAAAGCTAATCTTAAACTAAATTTAAAAGAGTAAACATGATGATGAATTGAAAACTAAACTTAAATATAAAATAAGGTAAGCAAACTAAATACAATAAACTAACGTAAAGTTGTTACGCATATAAAGTGAAGGTGTGTGGTAACATCGCACTGCGAAATATACTAATATAATTCCAGGACGTTAAGTTGGACTCCAAGTTACTTGAAGTAGACAATCTCCTAACCCCAATTTTTTCAGGAATATTAAGAAACCCAATAAAGCATACAGTAAAAAAGTAAAAGATGTTCAGCTTTGTCACACCCAATAAATTATGAGTAAATAATAAATTTAAATAAATTTCGGTGTTTATTTATAGCGAGTTACCTTGTTGCGAAAATATTAGATCATTTAAACAAGTTTTGGGACCTAAACTAGGATTCCACCGGCTGATCGTCTGGAAGCCAACCCGTATAATATCAAAACTTTTACCCACACAGACAGTTGGAGAAAATGTCGTATCCATTATTGTTTATTTGTTTACTCTCCGCAGAATCTCTGGTACCAGGTGATTGTCTTCACCTCAGTGGCAGTTTGTCTAACAGTGGTCGCATTTGCAGCCTGCTTGGCAGCCAGCTGCTACGTCTTTCGTTTCAAGGCTAAAGCTCAATTGTTGCGGTAAGTGTGACGTCTGTTACATGGACAATTTTGTGCCTTCACATATATGATCGCAAAACTTGGGGTCACCTCAGCTGCCTGTTCTTGTCTAGAGCATCCCAGATGTCTGTATATGTAGAGAAGGAGGCATCTCGAGCACCAGAATCCTGATTTTATTCGTCTGAGCTTTCGACCTCTTACCAGCGTCCATCGTCAGAGATGAAAGCGTTAACGAAAGACAAGAAAGAGTTAGAGGGGGCAGGGGCAAGCAACCACCAGTGACGTGAGTCCAGTATCGCGTAACATGCCTAAACTGTCCTCGAAATTACGCAGGACAGACTGGATGCGTGCTTGTTTCGAGCATACACGAACACGAGCTGGCCGTATGACGGGATGATGCACTATCACAAGTGGCTGCCTACACCTACAGAATGGTTCACGGATTTAACTTTGTAGCCATTGAAATAATCGTCCACGCCGGCAGCAAGACAGGCCAATTATTCATTGAAGTTTGGACCTTGGATGAGAAATCAGTCAATCGATTTATCGATCTGACGCCGGCAAACATCCCTCTGCGCGGATATCTCTGGACTGACGGCTCTGGTAGATGGATGGCCTCCACTCCCTATAACTGTTGATTGCTTTTCGTTGACGCTTTTATCTCTGATGATGAACTCCAGTGAGTGTTCGTAAGCTCGTACAAATACAACCAGGATTCTGGTGATCGAACTGCCTTTTTCTTCTTCTATACCTATACACACACCTGGGATACGAATATTCACCTGAATTCTGGATTATTATCACAAGGTTAGTATGCCAAGCATGGATTTCTTTCAATCAAATGTTTATGTAAACGTTTAACTTGGTCCTAGACTTCCTTGTGTAGGTGACTTTGTTCAAATTTTACACAGCAGTTCCAGACGCAGTTATCCACTTCAAAGTTAATAGGAAACTAAAGCCCATCACTGAGCGTGGAAATAGGCGGGATGCCTGACATCAAATTTACCGCTAACAAGCAGACATGTTTTACAACAAAATAATAAAAAGGATAGCATTTATCTACCGCCCCGCCCGCCTATAGACGGTTGAAGAAAAATGTTACCGATGAGTAGCCGCGGATAGATACAAAACCTTCAGCACTTTTTCTGCCAACTCTGCGGCTGCCGTACTCGCGGAGGAAATATGGGCGGGACCAAAAATATTCTTTTCCTCAGCGTTTAACGGTCTAAACCATAAAGTGTTTTACCGCTGCTCTATGGAAGGGTAATGAAAAATTGCTGTCATGCCATTATGATACATCCTCGACGCAACAAACTGACTTCACAAGAGCTAGCGCGCAAGGGGAGCGGTTTAACTATAAACGTAAATCAAGTGACATCATCATCAAGCAGTAAAGCCCATTGAAAAACCCGAAGTCATTCTTTGCGGCGTTTCGACTTCGCGACCTCTACTTCAAGGTTTAAAGTAACAGTTAAATTATGAGTTCGCAATTTTCTAATAGGACTATTCGGGTAGTTTAGAATAAAGTCCCCGCAGTAGTAGGGTTCCATTTTTTTTATTTTTATAAATACTTATCTCGTGTTCTTTTTGTTGGTGAAAAGGGAAAGAAATTCAATATGGAAAAACAATTCCTGTTGCTGTAGATTCAGTCGACTGTGTTTCACGCTGTAGCAAGGACGTGTATACATGACGAAAAAAGAGGGAAAGATAAAGGAGCTTTCGCTGACTTTTCTTCACCATCGCCAGCCAGAAGTCATGCCCGAGTACAGACCGGAAATACCTTTGACCAGCACCTGGGGTGTAATAAGGCGACATATTAAACTCAATGCTCAACCGCTTGCTCCGTTGCTCTTGGGAATATTTTTGCAAAAAAATAGCAATAGGACTGCGCTCCAATGAATTTTATTCACAGCAGTAGCCAAGAGGCGGGGGAGTTTGGCTATAACGGGCAAACCATCTTGTCGATTTCAATGGTGACGCATCTCATTTACGCATTACCATCACCAAGACGTGCGTTTGACCCGTTTTCTCTTTAGATACACCATCACAATGAAGAAATTCTCTTTTTCATTTACCATGCTCTCTTCTCGCCCCGCCTTTCGATTTAGTTCAAGTGCTGACTACTAACTTTGTGAAAGTAGGATCCCTTTTCCAATCCTACAGCTTACAAATAACACTGACAGGAAGGCATTGTTTTACATTCTTTTTGACAGAAAATGAGAGGCACGAATTATGCAATTCGCGTTTGATGATACATTATGTGTCGTAATAAATCAGTGGAGTACTTCATATCCCTGAACGACCTCAACGGTACGACCAGCATATGACCAATAGCTTGATTTTCTGGGTATTCTGAAACTACTTCAATTCTGCTGGATTGAGCCTTAGCCTACTTCTTATTTTCATTATTAAAAAAATCATTTTTAAAACGGTACTTAAAAGTGCCATTTTTGCCAAAATTGGCATTAATCGTAGTTTTACCAATGTTTATGCGATGTGTAAGCTTACTTACTTACTTTCCCAAAGGATGCCTTACCTTGAAATTACATTTCTTGGGATGCCTGCCTTTCAGTGTAAGTTTACTGTTAATTAGAAATAAATAAGACAAGTTCAGCTGAAAATTGTGGTTAATTAATTTTTTTCAGAATATTTGAGTAAATTTTCCCAACTTATCCGTATGATTCTAAGAATCCACTTTTCTAATGCCTTTATTTATGGAATAGCAATTTGTACGACCGTGTATCAATTTGAACACTTTATTCATTTATAAATAGTCCACCAGTTTAAAAGAGCTAAATACTACAGAAACAGGTAGTACGGTCTTCCACTAATAAATATTAACCTGTAATAGTTCTGATAATTTGCGTCATATTATGTAGCTGTGGTGAATTAGGAAAGGGTAGGACTGTCCTTAGAGGTCTTACTTGCCTTTGACTTATCATAATAACCTACTTCTACACTATGCAGTAGCCCGACTTTTAGTTAAATTCCGCCATTATGAGGTTGGGTTTCCCCTTCTTTGTTAAATTCTGCTAATATAAGGTCAAATTTCATTCAATAGGCATCAGTTGCTTGAGCAATAGGAATTGACATTGATGGAGTTGCTTACATTTAGCTCATTAAAACAACTATACGTGCCTTTAATTTAATATATTTTGGTTACTTTCGACACAGTTCCATATTTATTTACATTCATTAACTAAGAATTAAATGGTCAACCATCGGTTCCCTAAGACAGTTGGGTGGGGGAAAATATATTTAGGCTGACCCTACAAGACAGTCTTTCCAAAAAGTATATAATTCTTTCATGGGTGTAGTATACCTACCTTTCTGAATGCTCATCCTTTTAGCAGCCAACAGCACAATGCTTCTATTGGAGAACTGCAATTTGTGGACTCTGGAAACATGCCAGTCTACCTGAAGAGGTGTTCCTCTATGGATTGCGCAGGTAATCATGGCCCGCATCAGAATCCTTCGGTTCACAGTTTTGCCGCCGTTAACAGACCCCTGGTGCAGGGCTCTCCGACCCTCTGCCTGGAAGATGACCCCGAAATGATCTTTTCCAACACCCAAAGTCGGTCCCCCCCGCTGATGAACGGTCAGACCCTTCCACCCGCCGCCGCCTCCAGCG